CCCCTTTATCCCGTTTTTAGCGTCACTGCATTCTGTGTCAGGTTTTTGAGGTGTTTTGGTGCCCACGGCCGCCACAGGGCACTGCCAGGACCCAGAGGGGACCCGGAGGGGACCAGCCCCTTCCACCCGGGAAGAAATGCCCCAGGAGAAGCCACAAAGCTCAGCTCTGCCCCAGAACTGCCGGGGAGCAGGAAATCAGCCCAAAACTGTGGATAAATGCCCAGGGAATGATGGAGCAGTTTGGGTGGGAAGGGAGCTGGTGATGCTCTGAAGGGCCAGGCTGCACCCAAGGGTGCTCCTCACCCCCTCCTGCTCCTGCTGCTCCAGGACTGCCACCATCAGCTCCAGAAAAAACTGGGATTGGTGGCTCTAACCATGGGATAAAGCCCTGCCACACCTTGTTTTTCAACCATCACCTCCCTCAGAACTGATCCCCAGGGATTTTCTTGCCACTGCATTTCTATTATATTCAGAAATAGAAAAATATTCTATTTTTTTCCCAGAAAATTCATTTAGTTTCTCCCTTTTCTGTTTTATATTCCAAATTTCTCCTGTTCCTCATTCTTTTTTCCTGTGATTGACACAATGCCTGTTAATTTCCCCACCCGATTAAAGGAAATTTTGTATGGAATTCATCCCAGACTCTGGCTAACTCTGGCCACGCTGCCAGAACCCTCGTGGCTCACAGATCCAGCAGCCTTGCCAGCTTCCTCTCTCCTATTTCTCCTTCCTCCATCGCTCCTGTTTTCCCAGAGGCCTCTCCCTGGGCTGGAATTGGGCAAAGATTCCCTGTGATCCATCCCGGTGTGACAGTGACAATCCAAGGGGAGCCATTCCCTGTAATTACTGCAATTAAAATCATCCTTGCTTTTAGGGGGATGAGAGATTCCCGGCATTCCCAGCACGTTCTGCCAGCCGGGCTGGGATGGGGGAATAGGGGGAGTGGGGAGGGAATGGTGGACATGGAACAGGGTCACCAAAGTCTCCTGCTGGCAGGACAGCTCAGCTGCTCTGGGAATTCCAGCCGAGCCAGGAATTCCCAATTCCCAATCTCCCAGCCATCCCTGCCCTCTGGCAGTGGGAGCCATTCCCTGGCTCCTGTCCCTCCATCCCTTGTCCCCAGTCCCTCTCCAGCTCTCCTGGAGCCCTTCAGGCCCTGCCAGGGGCTCTGAGATCTGCCTGGATCCTTCCCTTCTCCAGGGGAACATTCCCGGGGCTCTGAGCTCTGCCTGGATCCTTCCCTTCTCCAGGGGAACAT